GTTTGTGGGTTAATTAAGATTCTGACTGAAAACCCAGTAACCTACAGATTATGTGTGAGGCTGCAATTTTTTTGATATCACACAAGTGCATAATTATAAAATTTTAGTTAGTGTAAATTACTTTGTCTCTCAACATTGTGTATTGGTGAATAAATGTTACTTCCACCCTTTTAATATTTATTATAAAGTACATATTCCCAATGTAACAATATGTTCTGAGTGCTAACATTAAGGAAGGTATTGATTAAAACTACTTTTACGGATTTTATCGCGTTTTATTTATATTAATTTTAATACGCAGAATGAACTTTTTGAAGTCTTGCAGTGGTATGCTTGGGCTTAGTTTTAATTTTATTAATTAAACATATTATATTTCCTATGGAGTTAGAGGCAAATAATTCCTTAGCTTTCCTAGATGTGTTAGTCATCCGAAATCCTAACAACACCATAGGTCATACTGTGTATAGAAAAAAGACCCATACAAACCGATACTTAAATGGTGAATCTCACCATCATCCTTCACAGTTAGCTACCGTGGGCAAATCTTTGTTTCAGAGAGCACGAGGGATCTGTGACAGCAAACACCTGGCCGCCGAGCTTCAGCACGTCAAGCAGGTTCTGCACGACAACAAGCTTCGGGTCCCGCGCCTCCGTCACAGTGACCTAGTGAAACCGGCCACAGTCGAGCGTGTGCCTGCTATACTACCATATGTCAGAGGTGTCACAGACAAGATTGGCTACATCTTGAAGCGAGCTTCTATTAGAACATTCTACAAGCCGCCGAAGAAGATTAGTCAGTTCTTACCATCCGTCAAGTGTCATATTCCTCTACAAGATGCAGGAGTGTACAAGCTTGATTGTGATTGTGGTCTCTCATATATAGGGCAAACAAAGAGATCAATTAGAACCCGCGTAAAAGAACACATAGCTGACGTGAAGCATCAACGTTCCGGATAGTCTGCAGTTTGCGATCATATTCTAGATGGCCCCAACCATTACATCAGATTTGATAGACCACAAATCCTCGCGAAAGAACATCGATTCCTACCAAGGATGATACGTGAGGCTATTGAAATTAAAAAACATCCTAATTTCAATAGAGGAGGCTGGGTACTACCACCTGCTTGGGATCCTATAATTAATAAAATTAAAACTAAACCCAAGCATACCACTGCAAGACTTCAAAATACAGTTAGTTCATTCTGCGTAGATCGGACCAAAGACAATAATTAAAAAGCTGAAGGTACTCCGGGTTAACTTTGACATCGGGACGTCAGTCACCTCAGTCCCCCGTGACCATGGGTGCTGGAAAGCACCCGAAACGTCGGGTATTAAAATTAATATAAATACAACGCGATAAAATCCGTAAAAGTAGTTTTAATCAATGTATAGTGTTCGCGTAAATATAAGAACTCATTATATTAAGGAAGGTAACTTATTTTTGCAAAATTTGAACAAAGATGAATTTATTAGAAGCAGTTATAATACGAACAAAAGCCGTTTCCACGGAGAGTAAAAATAATGTTTACTTGACACGGTTATTGTTCTTGATATATTATAATAAAGCGCTTTTGTAAGTAGCAAAGAGAAAGAAAACTTTCTTGATTATCTCTTTTTGATTTATGTGCTGAAGATAATACTGAATAACTAATGAATACGATGTTTATTAAAGAGAAATTTATTGTGGAATGTTATATGTGTAGTTACTTTGGCAGCCTCTTATCTCAGGGATATCTCGTTTAGAGCCGGGGCAGCGTAAGTGGCAGCTGGAGTAAGTGGCGCAATCATGAGTCTCTGAGAGATGACGGGATATTCGTGCTATTTGCTGTAGAAACTATCGGTCCGGGGTCCAGATGCATGCAAGAAGGTGAAGTTAAACTGTTAACTTGAAGGAAATGTATCTGCGACTGGCAATATGCTGGTGATAAGGGGGCTGGTTTTGTTCTCGCTCAAAGGCTAAGTATAGCCATTCGGCAAGAATACGCAGAATAAGATTGTATGATTTTTTAAGTTTACAGTTGTAGCTTTTTATTATAGTTTTTGATTATTATTGTATATATTATTTTGATAATATTTAAATAGATGAAATAATTAAACAAAAATCGAAACAAATTAAATTACTACTTTATTACCTCAACTTTAATTAGTTTGCAACTTTAATACTAACTACATTGTATTAAGCTCATTCAACTTATATCTTAAAATCTTTGAACAATAACTAAGGGTTCCATTTTGAACGTAATCGTATATCAACACCACTCTCTTATTATATTTACACTTTTCTTACATTCTTTAAAGCATTCTCCATCAAAATATAACTATGTACGGCGACATTTAAAAATCGATTACATCAAATTATTGTATCACGGTTGTTATTTCAGAAAACTAGTGTAAATATCTGTATATCGTGTTAAATGTCTCGTATTTTCCTTGTGTTGAAAAAATAATCATCGCTTTACCTACTGCCGATTATTCCGTATGAGTCGATGCCAATAAATACTAGTAAGATATTGTAGACGCCAACAGATGATAGATTAACAATTTAATATATGCTAGTTCATGGGGGGTATATTGCCATAGTTGCCACGCATTATATAATTTTGAATTTTTGAAAAAACATATAATTTTGTCTATTTTCGTTGACCTGTATATGCAGTGAGGTGTGTTACTGAAACGTTACTTCTGCTGCAAAATAATAAGCACCATTAAAGTTGTAGTAAAAATAAATAATATCGACTATCATAAACTCAAAAATATTTCAGGTGTACAAAAACTATGATCGGGTTAATTGCGGACGTAAAAAAATATAAAGAAAAAGAAGTACACCGATACAAAATGCCACCAAGGATTCAAAATCTTAATAATTTGACATGATGCAAGAGAAGGTACAAAAATATTAAATGCTCGTTCTATCGCTTGGAAGTATCATCCACCGCAGAGGACCGGATCGGTGTATGGTGTCTACGTCTGGTGGTTATATTTGTGATTTTGTTAGGAATAATAGATCATTTGTAATTACCTCAGAAAATCCGTAATTGACCCAAGTAGTGTGAGTATGTACCCGATATGGACCGCGTTATTACGGACAGCAAACTGTTTGTTGTTTTTTTTTTTAATATTTTATGGCAGTTGACTAGTTAAAAATGGAAAACCATATTAATTTTGTAAGGGTATAACCAAAGTTTAATTCTATTTAAAATAAACGGATTATTGCTTATGTTATAGTTTCCATTTCCGCAACTATCCTACTCTCCCCTACTTTGTTGCAATCTATGGGAGAGGTCTATATTCAGCAGTGATATGTAATGGGCTGTAGTAATACAAAGCAATAGTGACAAAGGAAGAATATTTTTGTTGTTAATTTAGAGGAAATATATTTTCATAAATAAGTCTATAATATACCTACCTAAGAACACTATGAGTATGTTTATATAATAAAAATATTTTTGTATTTAAACCGGAAAATATAAATGTTCGTTTTAAAAATTTTGGCAAACTAATTCGCCCAAAGTTTTTCTCAAATCTGTTTCGGTGTAGTGCTACATTTACTAAAATTAATCTTACAAATAGCTATAACTTATTATCATAATCGTGTACCGTTTCAAGTTGCCTTATGTTAGCTTTCGCATAATTCAATTACATTATTTTAGAGTTAGTTAATTTCATAATAACAATTATGTACTTTTTAATATTGTCATTTTTAACTTTCGTAAGTTTAGAATTTTAGAATTCAGAGGCGATGGATATTAACTGGTGCTTTTAGTCTTTTATATTAGTGTAACTTATTATGATTATTTTAAAGTCATTGTTTTTATAACAAAATGCATAATAATTCCTAGAAAAAAAATGAAAGAATGGAGGATAAACGGAGCCACTAGTGTAATATAATATAATACAACACTGTGTAGTGCTAAGACATACAAAATGATGTTTAGGGGCACGAAGATATTATATTGTAATAAAGATTATACTGTTTTGGAATAAGAAATAAAAGTAGACAAGATGGAAAAAATGTATCATTATTTGTACAGAAGAAAATCTACATTTAATTTTTTCTAAAGATAAATTTATAGATATTTCAGAACAGTCTTTTAGAAAATACCTTTAAAATTTTAGCCTCCTTCATTACGTTAATTACATAAATTGACTTTCTTTGAAAATTTTACTTTAATAAAAATGATTCAAATTTATATAGCGCTAACATAAAACACTTTAAGGAATAACTTTATAATTACATATTACGAGGATCAAAGTTACATGCTTTGAAAAATTTACTTTCATAAAAATAATTCAAATTTGTAAATCGCTAACATAAAACACTTCATAATTACACAACGCACCTTTATTCATAAACTGAATTAACTCAAAATTTACGTTTTTCGAGTTTTCATCATAAACCGCATTAACTTCGTCAGGAGAATAGGTACAGTCCAACAGCCGACTCAATAACGCTAAAAATGACAGAGTTAGATGATCGTCGTTCTCTTTTTGATTAACGCGCGCGAACAAGTCGATACCAGTAAAATGAGCAAGTTCAGTTATGCGCCGGCGTTGCTCCAGTTAAGACCTTAAAACATTTTAAAGTAAGTGAAATAAAGCAGAATAATTCGCTGTTTTAATATCAGGTTGTTATTTTATATGCTTTATTTCATTCAAAAACTGCATCTATTTAGACTTATTTCATTTTATTAGAAAAGTAAATGTATTTTTTAGCGTGAATAATATGACTTAATTCAGTTTTGTATAAATTATATCATATCAAATACGACATCATTTCGAATTAATGCAGTTTAATATTAAAATGTAGAAACAAAACTTGAGTAATTAAGTTTTATTTCAGTTTTGTACTACAAATTACTAGAAACGTAGTAGTTTTTATATTTATTACTATTTACTATTAAATTTATTAGATACGACTTTCGCTCTGTTTGTAGTTATTTCACTATTTTACTAAATGACGAATGTAATATCAGCTTCTAAAATTTTGTTTAGGTTATAAAATGTCTTCGAGAGCTCGAAAGATTTTAGGATTGATTGTAGAAAATACCATGCAAGATAATAAAAATACTATAGGAGATTATAATTTAATAGAGAATTGCAAGAATAGCAATAAGGATTTCAATCACGAGGTCAGTAATTTTAAATTTACATTAATTTAATTTATTTTAATATTAACTGGTTCGTTGACTTTTTGGTATAATTTCAGGAACGACGGGTTCAATCCCCGTTTTGGGTCAAAAAGGATAACCTGTCAGGAAATTGTTGTAGTTATAATAATTATTAACACAATAGCATGATAATGATGCAGCGTTATCGTTAAAACCATATTGTTATTTACCATCGTAAATATTATAACAGTAGTTAAAATAAGTTTTATTAATTACAGGTACAAAATGAAACTAGTGAATCTATTGAAATGAAGGACAAGATAGATCCAAAAGGTAAAAATATGATAGCGAAATCAGTCGTGGATAGCTTGGATAAAAGAATTGAAGCATCTATATCAGTAAGTAGAAATAAATTATGAAAAAAAAAACAACTAAACAATTTATACTATTAATGATTTCTTAAATTTACGCGAACACTACACATTGAATAAAACTATTATTTACGGATTTTATCGCGTTTAATTACTTTAATTTATTTTTATTATTATCCCGAAGTTTCAGGTGCTTTACAGCACCCATGGTCACGGGGAGGACTGAGATGTTTGACGTCCCAATGTCATTGTTAGCCCGGCTACCTTCAGTTTATTGAATATTAATTTTTGGTCCGATTTACGCAAAACGAACTTAAAGTATCTTGAAGTCTTGCAGTGGTATGCTTGGGTTTGGGTTTAATTTTGTTAATTATAGGATCCCGAGCAGATGGCAGCACCCAACCATCTACTCTATTGAAATTAGGATGTTTTTTAATTTCCATAGCCTCACGTATCATCCTTGGTAGGAATCGGTGTTCTTTTGCGAGGACTTGTGGTTTATCAAATCTGATGTAATGGTGGGGACGATCCTGAACATGTTCACAGACTGCAGACTTCCCGGAGCGTCGTTGCTTCACGTCAGCTATATGTTCTTTCATGCGGGTTTTTATGGATCTTTTTGTTTGACCTATGTAAGAGAGACCACATTCACAATCTAACTTGTACACTCCTGCATCTTGTAGAGGGATATTACACTTGACGGATGGTAAAAATTGACTAATCTTCTTCGGCGGCTTGTAGTATGTTTTAATGGAAGCTCGCTTCAAGATGTAGCCAACCTTGTCTGTGACTCGTCTGACATATGGTAGTACAGCAGGCACACGCTCGACTGTGGCCGGCTTCACTCGGTCACTGGACGTAGGCTCGGGATCCGAAGCTTGTTGTCTTGCGACACTTGCTTGACATGCTGAAGTTCGGCGGCCAGATGTTTTCTGTCGCAGATCCCTCGTGCTCTCTGAAACAAAGATTTACCCACGGTAGCTAACTGTGAAGGATGATGGTGAGATTCACCATTTAAATATCGGTTGGTATGGGTTATGTGCTTTTTTCTATACACAGTGTGACCAATAGTGTTATCAGGATTTCGAATGACTAAAACATCTAGGAAAGCTAAAGAATTATTTGCCTCTAACTCCATTGTGAATTGTATTTTAGAGTTTATAGAGTTAAGGTGGTCTAAAAATGCAGTTACTTTGTCAGATGTTAAAATTGTGAAAGTGTCGTCTACGTACCGCTTGTAGAATCTTGGATTTACAGGAGCAGTAAGAAGGGCCTTCTCCTCGAAGTCCTCAATGAATATGTCGGCGACTATGGGCCCATCGCCACAGGTGAGCCCATCGCCACCCCATCTACTTGCTTGTAGAACTCTTCCTTCCACAATAGATAGCCAGATGTGAGGCAATATTTAAGTAATACTGCATATCAGCAGGCATGTTGTTATCTTCTAGCTTCCTAGTTATAATTGAGATGGAGTCTTCAATAGGTAGGCATGTGAATAGTGACTGAACATCAAAACTGACCATAGTTTCATTGTCAGCGAGATGTAGGTCTTTTATCTCACTAACAAAATGGTATGAATCCTTTGTGTGTGCTCTGGTATGTCCTCTCAGTGGTGCCAGTATTTTTGCCAAGTGTTGTGCCAGCTTATAAGTTGGTGAATCGATCGGACTCACTATAGGACGTAGTGGAGCGTTTGGTTTGTGTATCTTCGGCAACCCATACAACCTCGGTGGTTTGGTACAGGATGGTATTAGCGAAGTCACGTCGAGATTTAATTTTTCGGTGTATTTCTTTATTAAATCGCTAGTTGCTTTAAGCGTGTTAGTTGTGGGGTCTGTTTTGACCTTTTTATATGTACTTTCATCCGATAAAAGCTATAGTATTTTAAAACTATACTCTGACGTGTCCATTATTACCGTAGCGTTTCCTTTATCCGCGCGGAGAATCGTTAACTCTGGTCTGTTCCGTAAGTTAATCAACGCTGTAAATTCGTCTTTAGGAAGGTTTGGTTTCGGCACTGTACTACGACGTAACAAGGACGAAATATCTTGACTTATAGCCTCCAAATCTTCCTTACCGATATTATTCTTAAACTGACAATCTTCAACACTGCAGATAATTTATTCGTACGGGATTTTTCGCGGTGTTAATGCGAAGTTCATTCCCTTCCAACACCTTTATTGTCGGTTCGTCCAGTGTATGTTTTGACAATTATAGACCGTGCGTGTTTGTTGTTTACGCTGGGACAAGGGTTGTGATTCGTTCTGACGTTGACTTAGATGGTTGGCATTTGATTTGATCGTTAATTTTTGGTATTTTTCTATTTGTTTATTTTTGCATTCATTGTATTTTGATGTTTCTCGTTTGTTTATAGTTTCGATGCAATTATTAAAATCAAATGTCGTTAAAACTGTCTTTAGTTCACTGGACAAATTGTCTATGGTGTTGTTTATGAAATGTAAATCGAACCGTTTCTGCTGAATCACCGTTCGTAACAACTTTTTACTTGCCTGATTTAGGATCTTAGCGTTTCCTCGAATGTCCTTTATTGTTGATATTTTGACACACGTAGGAATGAGATTATGGTCTCTGCATCTCTTCAAGAAATTTAAAGATGTTACATATCTTGCGCGCTTGGTTTTAAGATCTTCTAATCGGCGAATTTTATTTGCTTTTACCAGTCCGTACTGGTTCACATAATGATTTCTTAAATTTACGCGAACACAACACATTGAATAAAACTATTATTTATGGATTTTATCGCGTTTAATAACTTTAATTTATTTTTATTATTATCCCGAAGTTTCGGGTGCTTTACAGCACCCATGGTCACGGGGGGGGGGACTGAGATGTTTGACGTCCCAATGTCATTGTTAGCCCGGCTACCTTCAGTTTATTGAATATTAATTTTTGGTCCGATTTACGCAAAACGAACTTACAGTATCTTGAAGTCTTGCTGTGGTATGCTTGGATTTGGGTTTAATTTTGTTAATTATAGGATCCCAAGCAGATGGCAGCATCCAACCATCTTTTCTATTGAAATTAGGATGTTTTTTTTTAATTTCAATAGCCTCACGTATCATCCTTGGTAGGAATCGGTGTTCTTTTGCGAGGACTTGTGGTTTATCAAATCTGATGTAATGGTGGGGGCGATTCTGAACATGTTCACAGACTGCAGACTTCCCGGAGCGTCGGTGCTTCACGTCAGCTATATGTTCTTTCATGCGGGTTTTTATGGATCTTTTTGTTTGACCTATGTAAGAGAGACCACATTCACAATCTAACTTGTACACTCCTGCATCTTGTAGAGGGATATTACACTTGACGGATGGTAAAAATTGACTAATCTTCTTCGGCGGCTTGTAGTATGTTTTAATGGGAGCTCGCTTCAAAATGTAGCCAACCTTGTCCGTGACTCGTCTGACATATGTTAGTACAGCAGGCACACGCTCGACTGTGGCCGGCTTCACTCGGTCACTGTGACGTAGGCGCGGGATCCGAAGCTTGTTGTCTTGCAACACTTGCTTGACATGCTGAAGTTCGGCGGCCAGATGTTTTCTGTCGCAGATCCCTCGTGCTCTCTGAAACAAAGATTTACCCACGGTAGCTAACTGTGAAGGATGATGGTGAGATTCACCATTTAAATATCGGTTGGTATGGGTTATGTGCTTTTTTCTATACACAGTGTGACCAATAGTGTTATCAGGATTTCGAATGACTAAAACATCTAGGAAAGCTAAAGATTATTTGCCTCTAACTCCATTGTGAATTGTATTTTAGAGTTTATAGATTTAAGGTGGTCTAAAAATGCAGTTACTTTGTCAGATGTTAAAATTTTGAAAGTGTCGTCTACGTATCGCTTGTAGAATCTTGGATTTACAGGTGAGACATCGTACCTAGAAGGGCTCTTCCTCGAAGTCCACAAATGATATATGTCGGCGAGCATGTGGCTTATCTTCACCACTAGTTACAAGTGAGATGCAGTCTTCAATAGGTAGGCATGTGAATAGTGACTGAACATCAAAACTGACCATAGTTTCATTGTCAGCGAGATGTGGGTCTTTTATCTCACTAACAAAATGGTATGAATCTTTTGTGTGTGCTCTGGTATGTCCTCTCAGTGGTGCCAGTATTTTTGCCAAGTGTTGTGCCAGCTTATAAGTTGGTGAATCGATCTGAGTAACTATAGGACGTAGTGGTGGACGAAGGTTGACTACATCTTGAAGCGAGCTTCCATTAAAACATACTACAAGCCGCCGAAGAAGATTAGTCAATTTTTACCATCCGTCAAGTGTAATATCCCTCTACAAGATGCAGAAGTGTACAAGTTAGATTGTGAATGTGATCTCTCTTACATAGGTCAAACAAAAAGATCCATAAAAACCCGCATGAAATAACATATTGCTGACGTGAAGCACCGACGCTCCGGAAAGTCTGCAGTCTGTGAACATGTTCAGGATCGTCCCCAACATTACATCAGATTTGATAAACCACAAGTCCTCGCAAAAGAACACCGATTCCTACCAAGGATGATACGTGTGGCTATTACTTACTTACTTACTTACTTATCTTCACGCACAATTCCTAACGGGGTAGCCAGAGAGAACAGATCGCCAAGTGTCACGATCCTTACATACCTCTTTCGCTTCCTTCAGGTTCATTAACTTCTTCATACATGCACGTCTAGGTATCCGAGTACTCTTGACCCTCCCCTCTTCGAGCAATTTTCTCACATGGTCTTCGAAAGTTAGTCTCGGTCCTACCTCGACACCTTTTAATATTTACTTTCGCTCTATATATTTTCTTCACCATTCGGTCTTCACTCATTCGTTCAACCTGCCCAAACCATTGGAGTACGCCCCTATCAATTTTTGTGATAAGGTCATCTTTCAATCCTGCCATATTGCGAATCTCTTCATTTCGCTTTCGGTCGGCTAAGGTAACGCCACATATTTTACGAAGAGATCGCATCTCCACTGCATTCAACTTGCTTTTATGCTTCTTCTGGCATACCCAGGTTTCGCTGCCATATAATAAAGTCGGTACCAACACTGCATTATGTATTGCAAGGCGTGCACTCTTCACCACGCCTTGCCTTTTTACTAATGCATTCAGGGCACCATTGACTTTGTTTCCGGCAGCGACACGCCTATCCACATCTAAATCACATCTTCCATCCCGGCTGAAAGCACTCCCCAAGTATACAATTTAATTTACCTGTTCTAGACATTCCTGATTTACGCATATTTCACATTTCGTTCTCTCTTCGTCCTTTTCAAATACCAGAACCTTAGTTTTATTAGCATTCAATCGGAGACCTTTAATTTCACATTCCTCTTTCATACACGTGACTAATTCCTGCAGTTCTGCTTCTGATGGTGCAATAAGCACTGCATCATCAGCATACAGCAGACAATTAACTTTTATGTCACCCAATTTCACACCCAAACAGCTATTTTTCAGCTTCTGTAAACAGCTGTCGAGATAAAGTATGAACAGCCAGGAAGACATGACACAACCCTGTTTTACGCCCGCTTGGACACTAAACATGGGTGACAGGTCATGCCCTACCCGCACACAGGCTTTACAGTCATAGTAAAGTGACTGCACAGCCCTTAACAATCGACCATCCACACAATATCCCAGCAACAGTTCCCACATTTTCTGCCTTATAACCTTATCAAATGCTTTATCCAGATCCACAAAAGCACAGAAAATCTTCTAGTTAACACTCAGAAGCTTCTCCGTGATCATGCGGAGAGAAAACATTTGATCCGTGCATCCTCTTCCAGGTCTAAATCCGCATTGTGCTTCCCATAAGAATCTTTTCGATTTCTCTTGCATCCTACGTGTCAAAACCTTCGAGTAAACTTTACTTGCTAAACTGGTGAAGCTGATCGCCCGATAGCACCCGCAGTCAAAATGTGAACCTTTACCTTTATATAAAGGCACAATGACCGCGAATCGCCAATCATCCGGGACATCTCCCGTCCGCCAGCACAAATTGCACAGCAGATAGAAGCTGTCCCAGACGCGAGGCCCACCGTACTTGACCATTTCAGCAGTAACTCTGTCTAGTCCCGCAGCCTTGCCACATTTCAAACTTCGAATCGCACGTTCAATCTCTTTCATGCTGATGACCTCAGTGTCATCGAGGTCCGTGTCTGGCGTGCCAGTCACGGCGTCACCCCCGGATCCTTCACTAAGATCATGACACGCATACATTTCTCTATAAAATTCACTCCATCGCTGCATGACGTCCGATTTTTCTGAGAGGACGTCATTGGTTCTCGAAAGCACTTTGTTCGTTCTTAAGGCTGTCGCACCACTCCGGGACCTTCCAACCTCTTTCCAGAAGAGTTTGGAGTTTTCCCTAAAGTTGTGCGACAACCTCTCGTCCGCTTCTATTCTACACCTTTCACGTACTTCCTCAATCAATGTTTTCGCATGAACTTTCTGCAGCTTATATCTTTCTTTCATCTTCTCTCTCATATGCTCATCGTTACTAGAGGCCAAGTAGTCTAACCATGCTTTTTTCTTCTTTTTTACAGCTTCTCTCACTTCATCATTCCACCATGCATCTCTTCTTTTACTACTACCTCTTTTTGTCGTACCACATACTTCTTCCGCTGCACTTACCATTCCATCCCTAAGGTTCTGCCATGTTCTCTCCACACATTCTTTCCTGCCATCGATGGTGTCAAGCTTTTCGGCTACCCTCGTGTGATATTTGTCCCTAGTATCCGCTTTCTGAAGCTTCCAGCTTCGGATGCGACAGACCGACTGTGGTTCTGTTACTGCCGTCCGGTAGCGCCAACCCGCGAACAAACCCCTAAATCTAGTAATTACTAGATAATGATCCGTGATGATTATTAAATTGATAATGATACGTGAGGCTATTGAAATTAAAAAACATCCTAATTTCAATAGAGAAGATGGTTGGGTGCTGCCATCTGCTTGATATCCTATAATTAACAAAATTAAACCCAAACCCAAGCATACCACTGCAAGACTTCAAGATAGTGTAAGTTCGTTTTGCGTAAATCGGACCAAAAATTAATATTCAAAAACTGAAGGTAGCCGGGCTAACCATGACATTGGGACGTCAAACATCTCAGTCCCCCCGTGACCATGGGTGCTGTAAAGCACCCGAAACGTCGGGATAATAATAAAAATAAATTAAAGTAATTAAACGCGATAAAATCCGTAAATAATAGTTTTATTCAATATTTATACTATTTTTACTATCTCCTCAATACTGTTTTGTAGAAACTAATAATGTTTATTATTTTCAGAAATCTCGCTTTAAAAATTCACAGTGTAATAAAAGCCTGGTGCCTTATTACGATAGTGACATTTCATTTTCCGGACAATGAATACAATATTACATAATACGCTATGATAACGGAGGCAGAAAATAAAAATGAAGATCATTGTGCCCGTCAATCTTTATCAAGTTCATCATCTTTAAATTCGCTTTCGGGCTCATCGTCTTCTTGATCATCTAGCTCATCCTCTTCTAACTCATCGTCACCAAGTTCCGAATTGGATAGTCCGCGAAAAAAACAACAACGTGACCCTCATTCACTTACTACCAGACATGTTATTATTGATGAAACAGATGACGATATTATAGAAAACACACCTCCTGACCAACTGTCTTATAGAAGAAACGCAAGTGATCATTTTAGAAGTAGTTAGTGATAGCCAGTAGTTAGGGTGCTGTAAAAATACAATATTTGCTGTTGTTTAAAATATTATGTTATTATTAATTTTATTGTTTATCTTTCAGCAATTTAATAATCATCCCAGGAAGTTATATAAGGTCCAAAATTATTACACGTCTCCTATGTTAAATACTGATGAAAGTGACATTGACTTAAGCGTTACAGATTCCACATATGTAAATATTAAGCCAAGAAAAAGAGAAACTATTTCTTTGACAAATCGAACTCTTCTTCTACCAGCTCTTCAAATTCAGGAAGGGCTACATCTACACTGAATAAAGGACACAAACGTACCAAAAATCCTTCTCAATGGAAACATAATAAAATCAAACGTATGCGTAATAAGGGAAAAGCATATGTATCGCAATCGAAAACTCAAAAGCGTGTTTCTGCTCGGTATCTCAAAGAACCTTGCACGGATAAATGCAGGCTTAAATGTACTGCAAAGATAAATATAGAAGAAAGATACAAACTATTTCAGACGTTTTGGAATTTGGATGATTTAGTAAAGCAAAGGGCGTACATAAATGCGAGTATGGTTGATGTTAAGCCTCGGTATAAATATACCAATGCTGAAAGACTCAGGCACAACAACAAAGCATTTCATTTTAAATTCGACAGTGAAATGATCAGAGTTTTCAAAACTTTTTATAAAGCAACTTTAGATGTCTCAGATCGCATGTTTTTTACGGTACAGAACAGAATTAATGAAAATGATTTTTCATTTAATGATTTGAGAGGAACACATCAACACCATAAAAAAATTGATCTCGGAATACGAGCTGCGATCATGAAGCACATTAATTCTATAGAATTTCATTACCTGCGAGCTTCTACAACGAAAGAATTTATAGAAGGGAACAAAACTATTAAAGATTTATACAATGATTTTAAATTAGACCAAGAAAAAGAGAATAAACCAGTAGGTACATATATAACTTACTATGATATATTTACAAATGAATTTAATGTCATTTTTTCAACCGAAAAAGGATCAATGCGATCTATGTAATTCTTATTCTAATTCTAATGAAAATCAAAAAAAAAGATATGTAGGAGAAATACTTAAAACATATAGAAGAGAAGGAGTATAGTAGGGTCGAGAAGGTTAATGATCGCAAAAAAGTGGATAAGAATATGAGAGTAGCTGTGTATGATTTAGAGGCAGTTTTGCAGTGCTCAAAAGGTAACAGTTCCTCCTTTTACTATAAGTCTAAACTTAATTGATATAATTTAACCCTAACTGAATTGACGCCCAAGGAATCTAAAGTAGCCTACAAAAATGTGCATTGCTAGTTTTGGACAGAGAGTGATGCTAAACGTGGTGCGGTTGAGATCGGATCTTGTGTATATCTGAAAGCTATAAGCGACGAAGAGACGTGACAAAAAAAGTAGTGATTTTCTATTTCGACAATTGCTGTGGATAGAATAAAAATAAATACATAACATCTCTTTATTTATATGCTGTACAAAATATAAATATTGAGAGCATTACGCATAAATTTTTAATCAGGGACCACACGCAAAATGAGGCTGATAGCGTGCATAGCCTCATTGAGAAAGAAATTAAGAAAAACTTAAAATCTGGCCCAATATATAAACCCGACCAGTACATTGCTGTGATTAGGAATGCCAAAAAGTCTCAACCTCCATTAATTGTGCATGAGATGATTAATCATTTTATGATGTGAAAACATTACAAGAATAGTGGGGATACAATTATACAATAAATACAGATGGACAGAATGTTAATTGGAATGAAATAAAAGTCTTAAAAGTAACTAAAGAAAACCCTACTTTATTTTTCTACAAGACATCATACAAGTATAAAGACTACAAGGACGTTTATGTAAGAAATAAAAGGAAGAAAATGAAACTAACGACAGAAATAACACTTCAAAGTGCCTATTTTAATAAACAATAAATAAGTGAAAATAAGAAGAAAGATTTAAAGGAACTAATTTCAAAAGCATTAATCCCTTCTATATATGCAGGGTTTTATAATAATATACTTTAAGTACCACAATATTTTTATGTTAAGTTTTAAAATCAGATCTCATTATATTTGATTTTTAAGTGTGATATGAAAACCAAAACAGATTATGTTTAATTATGAAAAGCTTAAAAACTTTTATATTATTTTGTTAATTTATAAATATTTGAGAAGATTTTAATTTTTGTTTTGTTTTGATTAATATGAATATCTCTGAAGATTAACTAGAAGTTTTTACTTAATAATCGTATTACCGACAATACTTTGAAGTCAGTAGTATTACACATACAGTATCATTTAAGTAGGTACCTACACTGAAGTATTAAGACTATTTACTAAGACATGATTAAGTAATGTAACTAAAATAATGTTTTCTTCCTAAATAATTATAGCATGTAAACATAAAAATATTTCTTAATTTTATTAAAAATAATACCTACCTGTGCAAATTAAAATAAGAAAGTAATAATTAGGAATATTTCGTCGACAATTATTCATGCCTATATCTCAATACTGCAAATAATCTAAATATTTCACATACTAATACGATAATTTTAATATAAAACTGCAATATTTTCAATTACTCCGTTTGCATCAAAATTATTCGTAAGTAAAAAGTGAAATAAGTAGGAACTTTTTTTTAAATACTTCTATAGAGTGATCAAAATATAATATTTTTCCACCTCATTCTAATGCTTTGTTAATTAAGCTACACATATATAATTTTGTAACTGACCAAAGCCATTTATTATTTTTTTTATTTTTTTTTATGTCACCGATCTCAACATGACAAACTTTAAATGCGATTTCCCACAAAACTGAAATTTTGTGTTAATGCAGTTTATAAATAAAGGTGTGACAATACGAGCATCAAAGTTATAAGTAAACAACCTCATTCATTAAAGCAGACAAAAAATAATAAGGAAACCAATAGTCTCAGGTTTGGTTTAACAGTACTTTTTTTTCATCAGCCCGTAAAGGGTTACTGCTGGATATGAGGCTTCTCGATGTATTGAGGATTCGCCATAATCACCACTCTTGCATTGGATTGGCTCTCTCCAATAAAAAAAAACAAAAAAAAAACGACAACCCAGCCCTCTTTATTGTACTATGTTTAAAGCGGGGAAATAAGTATACGCTTATTAATACATCCATAAAGGACTACGTCCCTCATAGGTACTATTGCTGTAAAACCACCTGGGTTAATATATTTGGATGTGCTCCGTAAATATACGAATTCACAATCCTACCTATCGTTCTCTTCTATCCAAATGAACAAAAAAATAAATAAATTCTATGTTTTTGTGTTTTATAATTTTGTATGTCTGTCCATTTTGCTTTATTTGCTTATTTTAAACGCCAAACGTTAGGATTAATCGTATTTGAGAGTAAGCTACGCTCTTACTTTGTTCATTACCTTTTCATTTTCTTTCCACATAAATAAACAACAACACAAAGTTCTCTGCGTTCACATGTTTTCATTTTATTTGGCTATGAAGTAATTAAAGTTACTCATGAGTGTGTATTGTATATTTATATGTATTAAAATGGAAAATTTATCATAACATTTCAGCAGGTAATTTTCAAATACTTTTGATGTGAATTACAAACTTGCGTAACGTAGCGAGTAGTAATGAGATTTCGGAGTAAATTTATGGAAAAATAAAGGGTTTTTTTGTAAAAAAAATACCAAGCACATTTTCAAATCATGAATTTGGTATTCTCTCATACTAAAATATAACTTAATCATTCTTTTAAGATATTAAGCCGTTTAAATTAATTTTAATTAGAAATAACCTCCAAAATCGTACATTTACGGTTAAATTAAATAACTCGATCAGAGACCCTAAGAGGGTAACAGAAGACACGGCCCAAGGATCAGTCCTTGGCCCGTTGCATGTTTTATCTTATGTCAACGAGATGGTTAAATGTCTGAAACACAGTTCCTGTTATCAATTCGCGGAAGATACGTGTCTTCTATATTCGGGTAAGGATATCTCAAATGCATGTAATGCCCTCCAGGTCGATTTGGATACGTTGATACGATGGTGATATGACGTTGGTCTATCGTTAAATACCGATAAAACCAAACTCATGATTATCAAATCCCCATACATGCGGTATCCTACTCCAAAACTATTAATTGCTCATAATCACGACTGCTTCCCTCAATTAAGAACTTGCCAATGTCCTACAATCGAAGTTGTGACCACACAAAAATACCTTGGTCTTATAATTGACTCAAAGTTCAACTGAAGCTACCACATTAAACATGTGTGTAATAGGTTGGGTCAGTTTCTGGCCAATACAAAAATCTTAAAAAATCGCATACCTTTCAAAATAAGACATACTTTACAACTCTCTGACTGAATCTTATATTCAGTGTGGCTCGTCAAGCTATGGTCGGACGTACGAATCATATTTAAAACAGATCTATGATCTTTAATTTAGTAGTCTTAAAAATATTACCTATACTTACCTGCCTATTTCTTACTATTTCCTTGCTACTACTGACTTTAACTAAGTTGTTAATTTACCTTCTTAGCATTTATATTCTTGAAAAAAAAATGTTTACGAAAATATTTCGTCATCTCATTAAAAAAAAACTCAAATAAAGAAGTATTCAATTTGGCCAACCAGAACAATAACTAACAGT